CCTTTATTTCTTACGCTACGTTTTTCCCAGCTTACTGGCCACTGGGATTCCAACCTATTCACGATAATTTTTTTCATGAAAAGCATGTTATTTGCTCTCGAGAAACTTGCCAGAAACAGCACTTATGGGCTAACTTCACCTGCGGCACTGTTTCATCACCTGAAACCAGTCATAGCGCCAAAACGTGGTCGCCGTGTTGAACCAGCCAATATCTCTTCAGACGAACTTAACAGTTATTTTACGTCGATCGGCACGCAAACCAGAGAGAAGGTGATGAGAGACTTTCGGAGTTCCGGAATGGAAAAACTCAACGTTCGCTTGCCTCGTGTTAACGCCGGTGCCCTCACGCTGACGCCTGTGACTTTAGATCATCTTAAAGCTGTTATATTCAGTATGCCAAACAAAAATTCCAGCATTGAAGGAGATGTGCCACTCAAAATTTTGAAGTTAAGTCTTGGAGTAGTAGGCAGATATTTGTTGCGCATAGTGAATACAAGCATAGTGACGGAAACTGTACCAGATGGATGGAAGAAGGCAGAGGTGCTACCCTTGCACAAAAGAAATGACCCCTCGGAAGCGGCGAATTTTAGACCCATAACCATTGTGAGTGTCATTTGTAAGATAGAGGTGGCAAAATGTGGACCCGAGGACCCGGTCCAAAGAACCAGTCTGGACCCATATGGGTCCAGACCGGTTCCTGGACATTTTTGACCGGGTCCAACCGGGTCCTATACCATAAGCCATACATCTTGCACACTACACATGATTGCAAAATATGAAGTCAATAGAAAATAAAACATGTGCTCATGTATGTTTCTTTGGACACTATAGCCCATGAGGATTCCCAGTGGGAAAAGGCTGTTTTACATGATGCAACTAATGGTACCTACAATTAGTTTGTATTAATTGACTTCTGGGGAACGGGTCCAACTGGTTCCGATTCAAACTTAAACCGGGTCCGACTGGTTCCAGAAATGTCCAGTCGGGTCTGGTTCGAGTCTGGTTCCCAAAATTTTCACGTTTTGCCACCTCTATTGTAAGATCATTGAAAAAGTAGTTCACACCCAGGTGACTAGTTATCTGACTCAGCAACATTTATTCACCATCGATCAGCATGTCTTTATGGCGAATCATTCCACGGCAACGGCACTCGTATCAATGACTGACGAAATTTTGAAAGGTATGGACAATTCGGAAATTTCATTGCTAGCTCTTTTAGATTTAACCCTATTAGTGGCAGGCTCCTGGCTACCCCTATTAGTGGCAGGGGGGGCTGTTTACGACCCCCCCTTGATATCTCGAGATCTAACGGGCCGATTTTCAAAATTCAAACGGCATTCGACTTCGCTCAACGTGATCTACATTTCTAAAAAAAAAAATTAAGAAAATATCAAAAGGGGGGTTGAGGGGGGTAAAAACGGGCAAATTGCAGATACATTTTAGACTGCTTATCACGGCCAGGTTTCTGAACCAATCTTAACGCAACTTTTGCCGATCGATAAAGAATGAACCAGGAATTCACATGGATCCTAAAAATATGCATTTTCAAAAATCATAGGCGGATACAGATCATTGAGATTGGGGGTACACAAAAAGTATAGCAAATAAGGTTTTTGTTGGTACTGTTTCTAAAAAGGGTGGTAATGGTCTTGTTATGTTACAATTTTCTTATGAGAGAACGACTACAATTGTATTGGTCATGCATAGGCGGTGTCAGGGCACCTATGTTGGGAGGTAAAACATAACCCCCCTTTTTGGACGCCTGGATCCGCCTATTATAGCAAAAACGTGTCAAAAGAGGATGCACAATAACTTTGTATATGTTATCACATGATAAAACTGGTGCATACAGTTATAATACATCAGCATCGTGATCATCGCCCAAATGACTCGCTTCACGAATAGGACCCCCCAATTCCCAGTGCTCTGGAGCCGCCCTTGGTAAAGTTATGAACTTGAAATTTTCAGGGAATGTGCCCAATTTAGTTTTAGGAAAAGTCAGAAAATTTCAGCATCGTAGCTTCAGCGGTTTCGGAGATATTCCCGAAAAACCTGAGGGGTGGATGAAAACAACCCCCCCCCCCTGCCACTAATAGGGTTAAGTCGGTGTTTTGATGTGGTCGATCATAGTACTATTCTTGAAAAATTGAGTCTCTTACAGATTAGGACAGGGTGGTTCAAGAGCTACCTCGAGGGACATACTCAGAGGGTAAGGATCGGCGACGAATTATCAGAACCCTTACCGATATCGGTGGGATGCTTCCAGGGCTCAACGTTAGGAAGTTTATTGTTTAATATTCTAAGCAATGACATCGCATGTCACATTCCGTCCTCTGTGAACGGTTTCCGAGTAACTTTAATCAGGTATGCGGATGATACTCAGCTAGCACTAACCGGGTCGAGACACAAAATTCGGGATATGCAGTGTGCTATGGAAGACGTTTTAGGTATCTTGAGTAACTGGTTTATGCAAAACGGTATGATGGTTAATCCTAGTAAAACGGAACTGATGGTTTTCGGTGACAGACGGCAATTAGTCCAGTTAGATGAAGTTCCAAAAGTGTCATTCATGGGTGAAGTGGTGATGTCTACCGAGAGCGTGAGGAACTTAGGTGTGATAATGGACCCAAACCTGTCATGGGAGCGCCACGTGCAACATGTTGTTAACAAATGTTTTGGCATTCTCATTGGAATCTCGCACGTTAAACATACTCTACCGGCTTCTGTTCTACCTCGTATCGTCGATTCTCTTGTACTTTCTCACATTCGATACTGTGCGCAGGTGTATGGTAGCTGTGGCAAAAATGTACTGACCGAACTACAAAAAATAGTCAACTTCGCAGCACGAGTTATTTCCGGTCGACGGAAATACGACCATGTTTCGGATGTCATTTCAGACTTAGGTTGGCTCACTGTTCCAAAGCTAGTTGACTATTTTGACATGTGCATGATTCATAATTTTTTATCGCTGGACGTACCAATAGGATTGCGTGAAGCACTGTTGTTTAATCATGAATCAATCTCTCGAAGAACACGGCAGTCGGATCATATTTCAACCACTCGCCCCCGCAACAACCATGGACAACGTACATTCATCTATCGTGCATCCAAGTTGTATAACACATTCGCCATAGATCATCATGTGAACCACCTTAGCATGACTTCTTTTAAGCGCCACATTCGCAAAATGTTGGCTGATGCATCGTGATTTTTTTTCGTGACTAGTTAGTTTATTTTAAGTGTCCGCGATTTTGTTCTCATGAAGATGTGTGTGTGTGTGTGTGTTTTTTTTTTATCTATCTTTATAACTTGTTTTTTTTTTATACCGTGCGGTGTTACATTGTATGACGAGGGTATTGGAATAGCCCATTTTGTGTGGAAATACCTGATGATGTGAAATAAATAAATAAATAAATAAATAAATAAAAACTTGCTTACCTTCGGAAAAAACATTGAGGTACGGGCAACGATAGGGGAGAACCGTCCAAAACGCCCCCTGAAGGAAAAACGGTGTGCCACCACTGAACTGGTTATTTCACCATATATCATTAGGTATTTTGTTTAAGTCTTATCTTCCGACTATTTAACAAAATAATACGCAAGGCACTCGCTCGGATACTGCATTCCAGTAAGAATGAGCTTTTGCAAGATCTCTGCAAACGGGTGTTGTAAAACGCCCCACTTTGGTTGTCACCTGTTGATGAGTTTCGTTTGCATAGATATTGCATATAATATTCCGTTTTCATCCGTACTAGGTACTATATTTTTACATAGGTATGCAGAAACGTATTATGAGGTCAGTAGCATTGCCTTCGGAGAATCGAATTAGATGGAGTACCGTTTCGAAAATAAACGATACTTCAGCAATTGCAAGCAAAGTTGTCTCGCCCAATAAACTGACCCATTGCAAAAAAAAATCACTGTTTCCAATGTTTTTCTCGCCTTTTTATCCGACGGCAACAATGCATCGCAATTAAGCCACTTTTGGAATGCAAGACATTTTACATGTGAAAATGGCATGGGCGTTTTACAAACCAGGTGCCGGGGCGCTTTGCGAATTTTACCATGCCTATGTTTAGCGGCATACCTGATAAATCAGCAAACATGGCACAATTATTTCACACTGCTTTTGGTAGGCAATAAACTAGTCTTGCTTACTGAAAGCGTCTCAGATCAAAGTCACAACGGAATAGTGAATTTAATGTCTTTTTATGACAGATATTTATTTAAAAAATCTCATAGAGTCATGTTTTTGGCTATAAAATCAGCCCATTGATAATGGCGCGCAACAAACTTCATCAGCATTTTGCTTCCACAGTAGGTACTTGTTTCACCTGTAATGTTTATAAAAGTATAGGACCATTCAACTGTGTCGCAAATAAGGGCATGGTGCGTTTCACCTGCCCTGGGCGTCTTACACGGTTCTAATGTAAAAATGGCAAAATCAAGGGGGGCACGGTGCCCCGGTGCCCCCCCCCCCCCCTCCCCCGTTCTACCGCCTATGATAGTGAATATAAAAAACACACACAATGCAAAAAGTGCATTGGCGGATCAAATAAAGGTGTTGTTGGACGCTGTAGGGTGCATACGACCAAGGTTTCTCCAGAACCTTTTTCCATTAGCACTGCTGTGCAGCGCTTCCTTTCAACCCTTTCAACAACAGCCTTCCACAACAGCCTTTTCTTAGTAAATAACAGTTAAGTTTTATTTTTGCTCTCGAAAAACGAAAATTTTCGTCGATTTTGGGCACTGCGAGGGGAGGGTATTTGCTCCGAATACCCTCCAGTGAAAAAGTGTTCAAGTAATCGGATAGCATATATATCTAATCCGATCCACCACGATAAATGCACACATGTCATTCAGCAGCCTCCACCCCTGGCCCGGTAGGCACCCCATCCCGTCCATCGCTGGTGCCGACGCGGAGGCGGTCGTCGCGGCGTCGCACGGTTCGTCGCCGCCGACACTCTGTGTCCGTCGCAGTCGACGCGTCGGTGCCGACAGGGAACGCGGCTGCTCGGGAACGGGAGCCGGCGGCCGGTGCGTCCTCAGTCCGGGGGGCGGTCACGCGGCGGTGAGTGGACACACACGACTGCTATTCGACTTATCCACTTTTGTGTAGCCTTCCCTATGGCCTTTTTTGCCCTATCATTTTTAGAGATGGTTTTGCAAAGCATCGTTGTAAGGAAAAATTATAAAATCGTCTTATGATAGGACACATTTTCTATGTTTAGACTGATACATATTCCATGAAGTTATATAGGTAGATGCTTTTTTTGTCTTGTGCATGCATAGCAGTTTGTGAGTTGCTGATTAGCTTAACCCTATTAGTGGCAGGCTCCTGGCTACGTGCAATGCATTAACTTCTTTACTCTAGCATCAGCTTTCCGGATTATGGGAACTTCATATGCTAATTGCTCAGTTTATTATCGCACACAATAATTTATGTTATTCGTGACGCTCACTCAGGCTTGATAAATAAATCGATTTATTGTTCCAACCAAACTTCGAGATTTAGTTACTTTTTCTTTTTGTAATCCCATGGAATCTAAGTACGATTTACCATAGCACACAAACCTGAAAGACTACAAAATCCTTAGTCCTTACGGGTCCCTTTGCATCATTGTCGAAAGATTCAATAAAAGTTCACTGCAACGGTCATGCATGGTAAAACCTCTTGTTTTTATGCATTATCCTTTCACGAAATGTTAACGTATTCGCACAATGGGATAGCATGCAGCGGTGACCACTAATTGCCCTCCCCTTCTCAGACTCGAGCCGGTACCGTCGACCGCGCGTTTCACAGCTCGACATCACCGTTATGGAGCGGCAGCCACTGGCCTACCCGACCACGGAGAAGGGCGCGCGAAAGCCAAAGTGCGCCCGCTGCCGCAACCACGGCGTCATCTCGTGGCTCAAGGGCCACAAGCGACACTGTCGCTTCAAGGACTGCGCGTGTGCCAAGTGCAGTCTCATCGCCGAAAGGCAGCGCGTAATGGCCGCCCAGGTGAGACGGTGTGAGTGAAAAGTGATTAACTTATGTGTCTGTTGCGTCTCTGAAGCACTGTAAAGAAAGTGTGATCCATGACTTCGCCCTCCGTTTCTCCGTGTTTCTGCCGTCTCCGTGCAGCCGCAGGTCCTCTCCGACTGTTCCTCTCTTCCTCTCCGACTGTTGTCTCTGCCGTCTCACCGTCTCCCGGTCCTGCGGCCGATGGCTATGAGTGAAGTGGCCCGTTGCCTCGTTGTCTCACCGTCTCCGTTCGACCACAGGTAGCCCTGAAGCGGCAGCAGGCGGCCGAGGACGCCATTGCCATGGGTCTGCGAGCAGTGGCCACCGGCTCCTCGTGCGCCTACCTGCCCCCGGGACCCATCTTCGGAATGAACATGACGCAGTCTCAGGCGGCCGACCAGACCGCCACCGACCACGGTCAGTGCAGGCGGGAGCCAGGCGGCCTAGAGTCGAACGCAGCTGAAAACTTGGAGCCCCGTTGAGATTAGCATCAGAGCATAGCATAGCGTTTAGCGTTTAGCATTAGCATAGCAGCTGGGGCGCATATTTGCTAGATCGGTGAATATCCTTTAGATGCACTTGCTCGCACATGTAATGATAACCACACTTTGGCCATTCTATTTTGATCCTTAGGTGTCCTTATACTGCATATAGACAGACTTGTGACAGCTCAAGAAAAAAGTGAGCTCGCTCAGCTCAACTCCGTTTTATCCGCTCCCGCTCAGCTCCCGCTCAGTTTAACACGGCTCAGCTCAGCTCACGCTCCGCTCAAACCGGCTGTGCTCCGCTCACGCTCAGCTCAGCTCAGCTCAGTTTCCGCTCAGCTCAGCTCAGCTCAGTTTCCGCTCAGCTCAGCTCAGCTCAGTTTCCGCTCAGCTCAGCTCAGCTCAGCTTCCGCTCAGCTCAGCTCAGCTCAGTTTCCGCTCAGCTCAGCTCAGCTCAGTTTCCGCTCAGCTCAGTTTCCGCTCAGCTCAGCTCAGTTTCCGCTCAGCTCAGCTCAGTTTCCGCTCAGCTCAGCTCAGCTCAGTTCCCGTTCAGCTCAGCTCAGTTTCCGCTCAATTCAGCTTAGCTCAGTTTCCGCTCAGTTAAATTCACGCTTAGATCGCTCAGTCGTTCTTTTTAAATCGGACATGCTTAACCCTCGCCCGTATAGGGGGGGGGGGGGGGTCGAACGGACCCCCCTGTTTTTCGCGAATAACTCGCGTAAAAAGCGGCCGATCGCGACGAAACTTTCAGTACCCTCGCGATAATCAATTTTACACCTATCCTGAAAATTTCATGACCCTGACCCTAATGACCTTTGACCTGTGACCTACTTTTCGAGACCATGTTTGGCCGGAATCGCGATTCGGCGTATGTCGGCTCGCATTAGCCGCGCGTTAGCAGTCTTTTTGTGGTTTCAAGTGTTCAAACATGGCATATGATGTTGCTCCCATGCATTAGGGTGGGTGTCAAGGTCACCGGAAGGTCAGGTCAGGTCATTGACCTTTGATGACCTCGGTTCACTTTTTCGAGTTTTACATGTTTCTATGCTAGTTTTTGGAGCTGAATTCGAATTTAGCAACCATTTGAACATTTACGAAGCAGTTTTGGTGCCTTCGTAACATGTTACGAAGCTGTCAGAGGCTACTACGAATACCCGGCAAAATCCTTACTGGTTGACCTGACCTGACCCGACCTGGCCTCAATGCATAAAGACATCATCAGTGATCATAACTAACATGATATTCGTGATCAGCACCCCGAAAAACCCCATAGCAGCCACGTTTTACGACGTTCTAACAGGTCCCGATTTTCCCGACTTTTGGGTCATTGACCTGACCTGGAAGGTCAACCGATAACCTAGGACCTTAAAATTGGGTATCATCGGCTTCCTCTCGTCGCGGGCAGCACGCTCGTTTTTTCCGCGAAGCTCTAGCTCGATCAGGGACGAAACGGCAAGGGGGGGTCCAACGGACCCCCGCCCCCTTATACGTTCGCGGCTGGAAAAACACCAATACGGGCGAGGGTTAAAAAACAGACCAGCTCTTGGCGCATAAGTAAGTCTCCTCTAACAAGGAGCGAGGCAACTTACACAATGGGCAAAAGAGATAAGCTCATTAAGACCTTGAGACTTTGCGAGTCGTGCGTCTACTTGGACTCAGACTATAGTTACATGAAATGGACTGTTCTTGGCAGTGTTATCACATGTTATCAGAGTGTGCACCCGCGATGTTAACCCTCGCCCGTAAACGGCGATCTGCCACCTTCGCCCATGCAGGGGGGGGGGGGGTTGGTGCGACCCCCCCCTTGGCGTTTGAAAACGGAGCGTCGTAGAGCTTAGCGGAAAAGACAAACGGATTGCTCTCGCCGAGATCTCGCGATTGGTGGTATATTTTTTGGTCCTAGGTCAACATTTGACCTACTTTTGACCGGTCAAAGGTCAAATTTTCGGAAAAATAGACTTTTTCAAATTTTCCGCGGCGATAGCGGCAAAACGGTGGGAGATATCGACTTGAAACCTTCACTATCGTGTTCCTTGATCAATTCTCTATCGTTTGGTATGTATTTCGTTTCCCTAGCTCTAAAAATGGCGCGTTGGGAGCGCCGGAAGTCGGCAAGGTCACAGTCGGCGGCAGAAATTCGAAAAATCAAAATTTAAATTTTTGAAATCTGATTGTATTTTTGGATTTGGGATGTCCATTTGCTCCCCATAGATGCTAATATTGCTGCATATTCCCATTGAGGTGACAAGAATTAGCAAAATAGTGGTTCGGGCGCTTTTCAAAAATAGTACCGGACGCTGTTCCTCTTGTGACGTCATAGCTCCGTGACCTGACCTGACCCGGTCAAGTTTCTTATACCATATGATAGCCAATACTTGCCCCAACATGCATGGGAAGTTTCATCACGATCCATCAACCGATGTCCGTACCACCGGCAGGAAACCTCGGGCGTTGGCACTCAGTTTGTGAAAATCCGGCCTGAGGCTGTTCCCTTTGTGACGTCATAACTCCGTGACCTGACATGACCCGGTCAAATTTTTTTTATTAAAAGATGCGCAAGGTTTGCCCCATAAGGTACCCAAAATTTGGCGGCGCTGCGCGCCGCCGTTTTTGCGCTATTTCCGAAAAACCTCAGGGGGGGGGTTGCACCAACCCCCCCCCTACATGGGCGAGGGTTAACATAACATATAAGTTCAAAATATACGAACGAAAAAAGTCTGGACGAAAAAGTTTACAGACGAAAAAAATGTACAGACGAAAAAATGCCAGACGAAGAAAAGTCGGACGAAAATCTGCTAGACGAAAAAAACGCCATGGAATCATCTCAACTAGGCGGTGTTTCACGGCCGAGAGCAGCACGCCCACGCCGCCATCCGCTCTTGGCACCCTGCCAGGAGCTGACGTTACATTTTGGGGTAGTGTTGGCACTTGGAGATAAGAGTTTGTTTATATCTCCATGGAAACCCCATTTGACACGTGTGATAGCAGCGTGCTGTTATCAGTGAAACCTTGAGTGAAACCAAACACCACCCTGATCTCAACCAAGGCAATGTCAACACAATTAGAATTCATAGTCGGCGTGTGAATAAGGGAGCTTTTCCCATATTATGGACATCAGAAGGTGAGAGTTCCAGTTAGCGCCTCTGCCCCACCCCACTTTCAATAGGATATGGTTGCTTAGCCCACATTCAACCAACGAAGAGGAACATTTGCTAATTCCTAATTGTAAATATTTTATGCAGAGGTAAGAACCCTTATCGATAAAATTAATTTAAATAACTGCTTAAATAACAAAGTGAAGAATGCTGAATTGTACATTGCGGAGCAGAGTGTCAAGGCGAAGCATCAAAGCCTGACAGTAGGTATTCATCTTGCAGTCAGACTTGAAACTTGAGACTGGCTGTATTAGCCTGTAAATTGGCCAAGACCCTGGTCTTCCAATTTCCATGCAACATGGATGAAATAAATTAAGCTTGATTAGTGATTAATATTGATTTCTTTAGAGTTTTGATATTTTTAAGTGCGATCACGAAGGCAGTGTAATTGCTCACTCCATAGCTAGCTCATAGCTGAAGCATCAAATCCTGAGTTAATTTCCAAGCATGAACTGAAAAGAATTAGAACTGGATCAGCTCAGCTCAGCTAAATCAGCTCAGCTCAATCAGCTCAGCTCAGCTCAGCTCAGCTCAGCTCAACTCAGCTCAATCAGCTCAGCTCAGCTCAGCTCAATCAGCTCAGCTCAGCTCAGCTCAGCTCAGCTCGCTCAGCTCAATCAGCTCAGCTCAGCTCGCTCAGCTCAGCTCAGCTCAGCTCAGCTCAAGCTCATTCAGCTCAGCTCAGCTCAAGCTCATTCAGCTCAGCTCAGACAGCAGCTCAGCTCAATGCATTACTGAGCCGGCTCAGCTCACAGCTCAACAATTTGGCAAAATGTTGAGCCGGCTCATGAGCTGAGCTGATTTTTGAGCCGGCTCAACTGAGCTGATCACAAGTCTGCATATAGAATAGCTAATTGGCAAACATCATTCAATTGGGACCAACGGTAAATAAACGATAATACATATACTGGTAAAGGTACCTGTTGGTGGGTCTAACTCGGTAGATATCAGGGCTAAATGTTCTCCGCCTTTAGTGTCGTCCAAATTTTTGGGAATCTTTTATTCTGGGCGAAGAGAAAAAAAACATCAAATTGTATAAAAAAGCAAGACATAAACGGCACTGTAGAGCCTAAGCAAGCAAAATCCGAGCAGCCCAATGGATTTTCAGAGAACTTTAAGGGCATCCACCCTCTTATACGCTCAAAACCACCCTTCAGAATCCACCTGTGTGTTTAGTTAGGTAACTGTCCTGAGCGGGTGCGGTGACTAGTATTATGACCGGCTCGGCGGGGTAGTAGCGGCCCCGACAGAGGGGGACGGTGCTGCCGGCCGCGCCGCGCTGAGTGACAGCCTGTTTGCAGGGCCGGTATTTGGTAATCGGACGGCACCAGAGCGTGTCCCGGTGGCCGGCTACTGTTACCGCAGAGAAAACATCCCCCGCTCCCCGCCCCCGGCACCCCGCGACACCAAAGGGCTGAGGTTTGTGGTGTGCACCGAGTCTAATAACAGAGCAGTGGGGGACGCCGCCGGACGAGTTTTCGGACAACTGTAATGGATATCTGGGCTTATGCAAATAGAAAACACGAACATGGATCGGTAACCATATGTGTAGCCTATTCTGATTTAGAAATAAAATAGGCAAGAAAAGATTTCTCAAAGACTCTCGAAACTCACGGACGCGTTTTAGCATGACCTTCTTGCACCTGCAGCAGATAGTTGCCCTATTCCATTAAACTTCAGGTATGTATAGTCTCTCTTGAAAGTATCGCGACTCTGAGGGGAGGGCGCCACCTGTCCCAGCCTCGTTTGAGCGGAAAGGTTTGAGAGCCACTGGTAGCACTGACCGAAGCCTGACACGCGGAGGCAGCCAGCGCGGCGGGGCGAGGGGAGTGGTTTGCGGAGGGATGGGGGGGGCGGTCGCCGTGCGGTAACTTGCGATGGCAATAAGCATGTGGTCAACGGAAGCCACCCTACTCGCAGAGGATTTGTTGAGATTTGTTTCATTACAAAGCTGAAAATTTGACTGCGGCATTGACATCAGCACGACTACCACAGGTTTTTGGTATAATCCGGAAACCCGTGCGGCATGCACGAATATGAACAAAAAGAAAAGCTTCAGTTGCACGGGCTAACATAATGCATCCATGGTTGCAGGTGCACCCGCGAGCGGATTCCAATCACAAAAATATCTCCTCTCTAGTCACTTAGTCCTTCATTTGAACGTTCTCTGTTTTTTCTTAGTAATCGGTAGCCGGTTAGTAATCGGCGACAAAAAAATTACCCTTTAGGGGAAGGTGGGGTAAGACGGCCCAGCGGGGCAAGACGGACCACCAGCCCTCCCGGCTGAACCGCTGCTGGTATCTACTGCTTTATGCCTTCACTATGTTTGTTTTCCTTCGTAACAATGGCCACCTTGAGCTCATGCTGCTAGGATGCATAGCTTTTGAGTTATTGAGAAAAATGTTGTTTTTCGTCAAACCGATCTAATATGAGAGGTCTACGGGTGATTCAATTACGGCGCCTTTCTTGCATGATTAGTTTCTATTTTGCACTTAACTGTGAAGAACAAAGTTATAAACTTAGTTATAGTCACACTTTAGGAAAGGCAAGGTTTTGCAATGTTGGGCTATTTGACATATACGTCATGATAATGACAGAATTTAGATTTGGGGCAAGACGGACCACTGTGGTCTATCTTACCCTGTGGTGGTCCATTGTACCCTGCATATGGAAAGTTCTTTTCCAAAACATTGACACAAGTTTAAGCAAGCTAATTTTTCAGGAAGGAGTCTTTGTTGCATGTGAGCCATGCATGCAAGTGCTCAGTTAGCATGCATTCATGCCAAACGACAATCAACTCACATGTTCCCAGCTTTTAGCTGCATTTCCATCACACATGAGTAAAGAATAAAGGCTCATTTTGTTATTTTACCATTCTGGTTACTTTTTCTTACAAGAGTACAGAGCAGAAGTGTAACACACATGAACGGATATCAGGCACTGCTGGGTGGTCCGTCTTACCCCACGTTTTTTCTTGTCTGAGTTTTTGACATGTCCCTCTTTAAGAGCATCCACCACCTAGATGTCTTTAATTTGAAATTTAGTCTTTACACATATCAACAGAGGAAGGATTGAGCATTCCGAAGACTATAAATAATATGAATTACGAGAGCAGTGTAGCAAGATATGCGGCCTCAAACCTTAGCTGGTCCGTCTTACCCCACCTTCCCCTATCTGTCTTCTTTTTAAAAAGATTTATTTGATGCCAGGTTGCCACCATGCTTACATGACCTGTTTACGCCGTTCAGAAGGCCTCTTCAGAAAGGGCCAATAAGGTCATGGCGGAACTTTGCTTCGTTGTGACTTAACGCGTCACGCACACTGAGTTAACAGTGATTGGCACCCACTAAGGCAGACCAATGAGCGCCCGGCTGGTGAACCCAAGCGGCGCCAGTATCCGCCTGGGGCGATGGGCGGGGTCACGGAAGAGCGATACGAGCATGACCTCTGGCCGGCCTTCACCTTTTTCGACCCAGTTGTCAGCCGCTGGGGCCTGCGTCAAATAGCAGTTTTCCTTCTACCGCTGGCGTAAAATCGTGTTACACCGTACTTTTTATGATACAGGCCATGACCTCACTACTGGGGTCCTCAAACTGAATGGAATAGTTCGCTGAGCCGCCGCAGCCCAGGACGCGATACTTTCAAGAGAGACTATACTCCTAAAATATTACGAGACCACCTGGTGAACAATACAGGCTGAGTCAATGTGAATGCGTTTGCTCGTGTGACTGCCCAGGCTGAGCGTATGAAAATTGAGACAGCCGTTTTATTCCATCCGAGTGCATGGGTAATTAAATCCCGATGAAATCATAGCGACGCGATGGTATTATCTCTCTGGTCACGTCGTCAGTGCCAGCGATGTTCTGCCGTCGAAATCCGTTTACGGTGTACCATGTGACGGGGCCACATTCAGCAGTCAGGGGGTAGCTGCGGCGGGGTGTCCATTTTCCCAATCTGTGTGTGTATGCCGTCCGGTGTGGTCACACGCGTCCCCTCCCCGTCAGCGGCCGGTCCGCACCAGAGGCGACACAGCACCAGTGCTGCGCCCGCACAATGTTGACACAAGTGACGGCTTGTCACGCTCATATCATAACAGCGAGAGGTGACGCGGCGCAGTCAGTGGTCCGCGGCAGAGGTAGAGCGGAGCACTGGGTCTATCCACCGGCCGGTGGCGAGGGGTCCGCCGCGCCGGGCTGGGATCACCAGCCACTGCCGGGTCCAGTTTCAGTCTCAGGAAACCGGAGTACCGACTGACTGTAACACCTGCTGGTAATTTCGGGGTCGGGCTGATACGGTAAATAGGATTTTAACGGTAAATATTTTGATAAAATTGTAAATTGCATCTGCCGGCTGTCTTGTTATGCCCTTTGTAAATAAGCAGCGGGCGCCTGTACATATACTGCACCGCAAGACTCCCTGGTGAGCACAAGTCAAATGTGTGGTTTCAGCTTTCGCCATAGATGGCACCACATGTAAACGCCTGAAGATAGACTGGCCCGCATTACCCGGTTTTACGTAAATCCGTCAGGGCGCACGGTCTTTACGGCAGCGTTCACGATTGGTGTAACTAGCTGATTGCGTGGGTTCTTGGTCAGCTAGAATACCGCTAATGACCGATTAACCTTTATGTTTCCCATTCCTGACAACTAGGAAGGTTCCAAGTTTGAGGCAAAAACGTCTTTCGATGCGTTTCGCCAAAGATAGAAATAGTCCGAATGTGAAGTCTTCATCATAATTTGATTCATCATAAATAAGTGACAGTTGGACATTAAAAGTTCAGTGATCCTGCTTACAAGGTTTTGTAAGTCTAGACTAGTGAGAAAATACAGGGTGAGTGATGGAGAACACTCGTCCTCGGGCCTCGGGGGTCCGGCGGCTCACCACAGCCCACAGATTGGATAGCTGATAACGTTCTCTCCTCCGCAAAATGGTGAGCCCTCAGATCAACGAATGATTAATAGAATCGGCTACTGCATCCGTGTCGTGCACTATACTAATGCGTCCGCTGTCTCTGTCTCTCCAGAGACGGAGGAGTCAGCTGCCAGTGACGAGGAGTCACGAGCTCCTCCCGCCGACGACTCGGGCGACTCTGGCGAGCCGGCCGAGCGCTCAGCGGCCGCCTGGTTCGGCCACATGCAGATCCTGCGGCGCATCTTCCCCTCGCAGAAGGCATCCGTGCTGGAGGAGCGGCTCGAGGCCTGCTGCGGCGACCTCGTCAAGACCATCGAGCACTTTATCGGCTCGGGCAGCCGGGTGCGGCAGCAGCTGCTGCGGCCGCTGCAGGCCGGCTGCGTCACCACCTCCGCCGCCGGCGCGCCGCTGCTCGTCGCCGGGCAGCGGTCGGCGTTCGCGCCGCTGTGCCAGCCGCCGCCGCCGCCGCCGCCGCCCCCACCGGCCCATCAGCCGCGGCTCTCGCCATTTTCAGTCGAGGCGCTGCTCTCTCGGCCGCTACCGGCACCACCTCTGTACGGAGCGCCGCTGGGCCTGCTGCCGCCGCCCGGCTGGCACCCCCTGCGGCCGCTGCCGCCGGCTGCTGAGCCGGACAATCGGGACGAGCAGTGACCTGACACGACCAGACCTGACCCCCTGCGGCCGCTGTCACCCGCCGCAGACACCGACGACCGGGATTAGCAGAGACCTGACCTGACCTGACCTGCCAGGACCTCGACAGGTCCCGGCAGGTCAGGTCAGGGTTGACCCTGCCGGAACGGTCGCCAGTTGTGTCTGTTGGCAGCTTTTCTTCGGAAGAGGATAAGTATGCAGCCAATTACGGGGACAATAATCAACTGCGCTACCACCTGAATTCAGGGAATAAGTAGGTAGACAATGCGCAGGTCCCGGCTGTCTTAATAATTCGAATCTAAGGCAAATGAACAAATGTATCGCCATGTATTGGCGACTGTGTTGTATCAGCGCGAGTGTTGTCAGGCATGGTGGAGTTTTGTGCCGTGTGTCAGTGTGTTTGCCCATGTGCGATGTGCACATGCTGTAAAGGCCTCGGTACTGTGTTGTTGGTTGATCGTCATTTTATTGTATCTGCTGTAACTCTCAGTTACATACGTGTGGTTCAGATTGTTTCCGTTGTTTTAAATACGGGGCGATAAATAGGGACAAGGAAACCCGAAACTGATAAAACTGTCGAAGAATCGATGCTTTTTTAGTCTAACTATCAAGCTCATTTGGAAACCGGGCGCCAGAAGAAAACTTCGTGTCATTTAGCTCGACCTTATGAAGAAGCGTAGACAGGGTATCAATGATGGTTCGCATCTAAGGGACAAATATAAATAAAATGTATGCGTCTACAAATAGGCACAAATTGGTTACACGTGTGTCGATCATCACAAGCTTCACCTGCTGTTTAAATTGTTCATATTTTTTCGCTACCACTAGTACCTGTTGATGAATGGATTAAGGAATATTTTCACATCCCTCTTATCTCCGATAATTAATGTAACCACTCAAACTAAAAAAACGTTCAGCGTTTTTCTGACAAATTTGTGTTATATCCCGGGTCCTGTTGGGGGAGAGTGGGTGTTTTTGAGTTTGAACGCCCCTTTAACCCTATTAGTGGCAGGCTCCTGGCTACCCCATATTAGTGGCGGGGGGGGGCTGTTTACGACCTCCCTTGATATCTCGAGATCTAACCGGCCGATTTTCAAAATTCAAACGGCATTCGATTTGGCTCAACGAGATCTATATTTCTAAAAAAATGAAATTAAAAAATGTCAATAGGGGGGTAGAGGGGGGTAAAAACGGGCAAATTGCAGATACATTTTAGACTGTTTATCACGGCCAGGTTTCTGAACCAATCTTAACGCAACTTTTGCCGATCGATAGAGAATGAACCAGGAATTCACATGGATCCTAAAAAAATGCATTTTCAAAAATCATAGGCGGATACAGATCATTGAGATTGGGGGTACACAAAAAGTATAGTAAATAAGGTTTTTGTTGGTACTGTTTCTAAAAAGGGTGGCATTGGTCTTGTTATGTTACAATTTTCTTATGAGAGAACGACTAAAATTGTATTGGTCATGCATAGGCGGTGTCAGGGCACCTATGTTGGGAGGTAAAAATAACCCCCCTTTTTGGACGCCTGGATCCGCCTATTATAGCAAAAACGTGTCAAAAGAGGATGCACAATAACTTTGTATATGTTATCACATGATACCTTGCATTCACTGTTCGTAAAACTGGTGCAGCATCGTGATCTTCGCCCAAATGACTCGCTTCACGAATAGGACCCCAAATTCCCAGTGCTCTGGAGCCGCCCCTGGTAAAGTTATGAACTTGAAATTTTCAGGGAATGTGCCCAATTTAGTTTTAAGAAAAGTCAGAAAATTTCAGCATCGTAGCTTCAACGGTTTCGGAGATATTCCCGAAAAACCTGAGGGGTGGATAAAAACAACCCCCCCCCCCTGCCACTAATAGGGTTAATTCTTTTGCGAATGGCTAAAAACGGCGACGCGAATAATGCATTTATCTGCACATATTGTGAAAATTTCAGATCCAGGTTTTTCAAAGTCAGGTCATCAGGTCACGTCGAGTGACCCTACCTCAAAAAAGTTTTGTCGTGTCGTTGCTACACCGACTGGCCGATCACTTTCGGATAGTTTCAACGATTGCTAAGGGCAATAGTATTTGTCGTATTTGTAAAATGTACCTATATCTCATAGTTTTGATATCGATGACCTAAGGTCAGACCAGTTTTACGACACCTCCATTGTAAAGTCAATGGGAGAAAACTTAATTGCGGTCATTTTAGACGTAAGTCATGTAAGCACTCTCAAAACATCTGGGTACAGATAAAACAGGTACTGAATCGAAAAAATTGCATTCGTGACTCTTCTTTATATCCGTAAGGCCATCTCAGGTCACAAAAGGTCCGTAGCAGTTTTTTCTATTATAACTTTTGATGGAGGCGTGCTAGAGCAAAGCACCTTTCAGATGTCCAGCTCAACAATACGGATCGACTGACATGCAGCATTGAGCATGACCTCTTTCGGTCAGGTCATGACCTTGACCGGTCAACTTTAAAGTAGATCTTTAAAGGTCAAATTTCAGTTTATTGAACGCGACTCGACGAGAGGAACGCGAAGCTGGTAATAGTAAGTCCGTGCACGTTTCGAGTCAAAAGTTATTGCAGAAAAACAGTTTCCGCAATAACAGTTTTGGCAACTTCTGCCCTCTGGGTGCTAACCCCTTGAGTCTTGACCTTAGGTGAAAACTGAGAACATCATCCAGAAAGAGCTATCCAATGCACTTTCCGCAGCGCTGTAGCTCTTCGTTCCCGAAACGTGCGCCGATTTGTCGAAAAAATGTCGAAATAGATGGGCAGAATTTGACTTTTGATTACCTCCGATGACCTAAGATTAGAAAAAAATTGAAGAAGTTTCGCCATTATTTTCTATGCTCTTTCGGAGCCGCCTACCGCTTGCCGCTACGTGGCCCAGAAGCCAAGTTTTAAGGGAGTTTATCCCCTCCCCCAGCAGAGCGTAGAAATCCAGGGCAGCGGGGCGCGGGGTATTGCGTGTTCTACATACCTACATACATTGCCTGTTGATCAATCATGACTTTTGAGATATAAGTTTGTCACCCTGAGTGAAATTCATGTGAGAGCGGTAACGCAAGTCTTATATCGAAAAACTTTGGGAGACGGGATAATAACTGGGATTATACAACTATATATTATCCCGCGCCCGGCCGGTGCTCCGCGACTTCCGCGCCCGGCCGGGGGGGGGTTGTCTGAATACCCCCCGTCTAACTCGGTTCCTGGGCCACGTAGCGACACGCGGTAAGCGGCATTCGAGAGAGCGTCAAAAATAATGACGGAAACACTGGGTCATTTTTGGGTCAGTTCAAAAGTCAGGTCGCCAGAGGTCATCAAAGGTCATCAAAGGTCTTTTCTGGGGTGAGGCCACTTGACGTGACCTGGTGACCTGACCTTGAGAGCCCTGGGTCTGACATTTTCACATGTGCGGAAAGGATGCATGAACAGGCGTGCCAAAAACGGCGGCGCATCTGCGAAAAACCGCGGGGGGCGTTCAAACACCCACCCCCACCCCCTCCCCGGCCCGGCGCGGGTTATTCTGCTATACACTCGTTCACCAATTTTATTAGAAGCCGTTGGACGCCAAAGACGTTATGCCAATAGGAAAAGGGATTTATATCAGTGACAGGTAAAAGATTTAATAGACACCAAAATATGAAAATCCCAACCGAGGACGAAGAGCTCAAGCGTCATACATGGATAAAAGGTCTGCGAGAAAAAAAAAAGCGACGCCCGGGAATAGCGTCAGGAGAAAACTTACGTTTGTATCAGCGGAATTTCAACAAGTTACTTAAAATTACAATACAAATACTTGCTTTTTCGGTCATATATTGCATTCCAACATCGCAGAACAGAGGCAGGCATGGTTGGCATAGTGGCAACCATGCCTACTTTTGTCGCTTCATTCTCTTGAAGTCGCCCTCTTGATCGGCCAAGGAGGACATCAGCGCCTGCAACTTCCTCTTGCGCTCGTCGTCTCTGCAATAACAGGTAGAAATTCCGTCAAGGATTCAACACGGATTCAATGACAGCATACAAGAGCTTTGTAAAGCGTGTAAAACCCTGCAATGCAGGTGGAAACTGGGTGTTCGGGCTTCAGCAGCGCCAACGGAAAATGTTTGTCAGAAGTGGGGTTCGAACCCACGCCCGCATTCGCGGACCAGAATACTCTCCCGCTACCGGCGGGAAGGGAGACCTTGAGTCTGGCGCCTTAGACCACTCGGCCATTCTGACACGCCCTCATGGGTTACAACAGGGACATGAAAATGGTATAGCGATTAGCGTTATCACAGTGAAGTTGCTAATGCCGCAGATATTGTTATAATTCGATACGGCCATCTAAACCGACATTGAACTGGTGAGTTACCCCAGTCTGCTCACCTGGACTTTATGTCGGCCAGTTTCTGGCGCGCCACGAACGCGTTGTCGCGGCGCACCTCCCGAATCGTGGAGCGCATCTGGCGCTTGTACTTGTGCACCAGCTTGTCGTGCTCCTTCTTCTCGTGGGAGCCCGGGCGGCGCCGGCGGCCGTCGAAACTGACAAAAGAAAAGCGTAACGTCAGCCAGGTCAGGTCAGGTCAAATCGATAAATCAAGGAATGTGAAAAGATGATACCACACCATCGGAGATCGAGACTAAAGCCGGGAACGATGAACGGATAAAAAAGCTTGTGCCTAACTTCAATTAAATGAACGCGTTTTTCAGTGGTGCCTGGAAAGGCCTTTGCTGTTTGGTTTAAGCAGAGTTATAACTAAGAAGAGCAGTTAGAGATACGAAAGTCGAGTATGATAACAATAGTTAAACAAAGCAATTTTAGCCAGAAATGAATGTTCAGGACACAAGTCTGTATAAAAAGAGGATAGCTCGTTGACATCACCACTCACTTTTCCTCGATGGCTGGCTCGTAGAGCCGGAGCGGCTTGGGGCGCTTTTTGTTCTTCTCCAGTGTGGTTTTCTCGGCGCTGATGGCGCTCAGCGTCTTCAGACAGGCCGTCCACTTGTTGCGCAGAATAGCCGGGTACCTGGCACGGAAGGACGACAGGCCGTGGTCATCTGGATAGGACAGACACAGCAGCGCGTTGGAAAAACACTGCTTATGGGTCAATGTGTCCGGGAAATGTGGTAGGATGGCCAGTATTCTAGTTGCTCAAGGTTGACACCTTGAATAAATCTTATCAAGTCATTCTGTGGTGATAATGCCATCATAAGTGGCCCTGTGAGCCTTTTCCTCCCATACACTTTCAGTGTTTAACACGTATTGCTCTACATTACCGGTGCACTGCACACAGTCCATCGTCTAACGTCTTCCTCTTACCACCAGTCCCGTCCCGTCCCCCGTCCCGTCCCGTCCCGTCCCGTCCCGTCCCGTCCCGTCCCGTCCCGTCCCGTCCCCGCTCCCTGGCTCACCTCCTGACATCCACGGCGGCCATCAGTTGCCGGAGCGGCCCGAACAGCTCGGCGGCGGCCGGCAGCGCGCTGTGCCTCTCCGCCAGCTGGCCGGCCAGCGAGGCGGCCACGTGCAGACACGAGAGCCGGTCCGAGTCGGTCAGAGGCGCGTCACTCTGCACAGAGGACACCGAGAGAGCCGGGTCGCACGGCGACTCGGAGCAGCTGCCGGCCGGCACAGCCGGTCAGATAGGGTCACAGAGGTCACAGTGCGTCAGAGGTCACCTAGGAGAACACAGGGTCGCACAGAGACTCGGGGCAACTGCCGACCGGCACAGCAGGGTCAAAACTGGGTC